GTTTTTTTTTTGTTTTTTTACTTAGAATCAGGAAGGGATGGTTGGATTTTTCTAGGACATATTGAGGGGCAGAGGGAAACAGTGAGTAACCTACCTAATGAGTTTGTGTAAATGAATGGCAGAACATGTACTGGGAGGGATAGTAAAGGGGAAAATATTGGCAAAAGCTACAAAGGACAGGAAGTAGTAGAGAGCCATGATTGCTTATGTCATGAAGGAACATGGCACATAACAGAAGAAGGCAAATATGAGCTGCTCAAAAGTATTTGGTTCAACTAAGTTTCCTTTTTAAAAAAAAAAAAAAACTAATATTTGGTCATTTGGATTTTAGGAAGTGGATCAAGCTGAGAACTTTTCAGCATATCCTTTTAAGTATAACACAGAAAATGTTTGTTAAAATCAAATGTTTCAATATTGACTTATAGGTTTCAACTGATAATATTTATACAAACATAACTTGTTAAAGAATAAATAAAATACATTATTCACATCAGTCACCTGACTATATGTCTTGGTTGCATGTGAATGATCTTCCAGTCCATTCAGTGGCATTGTCAAACTAATTTTTCCTCTGTTTGTCTCTTCTTTTGCCTAAAGTAGTACCTTATAGGATGGCAGTAGAAAGATTGTTGACACTTATGATGTCTCTATACCATTTCTAGCTTACATCCATATCATATTGAAGACCAATCATGGAATTTAAGTAACATTGAGCCTGATCAGTATGATTACCTAGATGGGTGACTACTTGGAAATACCAGGTGCTGTAAGCTTGAATGTGTGGTGGTGCAATGGCTCGGAATTGTTCATCAGAGAGCCAAGTTCCAATTCCCATTGGGTTCGTTATATTCACTTGGGAAAGGTATGAATCCACCTGTTCTCCCTCTAGCTATGGATTAATTAGTAAGGATTGTATCACTAAACCATTACTATCCCCCCAAAAAAAACATTTTCTGGTTTTAAATAACCAAACAAAGGGTTGATAAGCCATAGAAAATGAATCAATCAAATTAAATCACAAGTTACATTTCAATTTTCTCTTTTTTAAGATGGATATCAAGTCTTCCAATAGGCCCTATTTCTTGTCTGATTATGTCTCATACGGTGTTATTTGTGATATTATACTATCCTTTTCATTGTTATTATTATTATTATCACGAATAACATGATATTGTGTTCTTATGAATGATGAATTTTTGCTCTTTAAATATTGTAATAGTAATAATAATAATAATAAATCACATGGTAAGCCAATAATCAACTGTTGGCAAATGATTTGTACTACTCAGCTTACCATGTTAAAGATCATGAGCTGAATAAATATCTACTTTCAGAATTTTGGGAGCCAAGTATAATTTGGGAACATATTCCATTCCTTTTCATGATGAGCCAGCAACTCTTTTGGCATGTTATTGGAAGTAACCTAATAATTCACCATTTAAGAGACCTGGCCTGATCCAACCTGATCTTATCCCAAAGAATATTGATTTAAGAATTTCATGGTTTTGCATTGTTTGTTATGGGTTGAGGTAGTGGTGAAAGTTAAAAAAAAAAAAAAAAAAAGAGAAAATTGACTCATTTAGTTTAAGCATGGTATATTGTATAATGTTGCTATTGTTTCTAAACAACAGCGCCAAACATTCGGATATTTTTACTTGCGGTAGCAAAGCTAGGATTCAATTACCCAAAGCTATTACTTCCTTTTCAGTGAACAGTCTTGTTCATTCCATTCAGAAATTGTATTTGTTATATAAAATTACAAGTTTTTCCCTTTTCCTTTCGCTTAACCCTTTCTGCCTATCCTAATTTTTATAAAACTCTTTTTCTTTTTCTTCTACAGTGTTTGTTCTAAAAAAAAAAAAAGAAGAAAAAAAAAAGAAAAAAAAAGAAAAAAAGAAAAGGTGTTTACATCAGCAGTATAGTTGTAGTTTCTTCCCAGAGATTTGTCAGACTGCTCTGAGCATAGAAAGAATTTCTTGTTATTCAATTTATCATTGTAGATATTTTAAAATCTCATTTTTTTCATATCTGGTTTTCTTCTCTGGAGCTTTCCCAAAGATTGAAAATATCTTGACATATCACCTTTGTCCCTTTATCAGAAGAAACAATATTGTATTGCTGTCTTTTTTATTTTCTTATATTATATTTACCATATTGCATATTTTTTTTTCAATATGTCAAAGATGTATATACAGAAAGAACACATATAAATATAAAAGTATTATTATTATTATCCATTAAACTCTCTCGTGTTGATGTGTTTATCTCCATAATAGCAATCATCTAATCTATTCTATTTTCTAGGAATGTGGAAAAAAAACACATGATTTTGTCTAATTCTCTGGCTTCTTTAACAACAAAAGTATAGACTTGTTTGCAATCAAACTGTTGAATGAATCTAGAATTAAATTTTTTTTTTTTTTGTGTCAGTTGAAAATGAAATTATACTTTGATATTATATAATTCATGTAGGCATTCTTCTTCTTTTATGTACTGTGTCCCTTCAGGATGTAGATGATCATGGCTCTCCACTTCATCCTATCCCTTGTAGTTCTCAATATGTTTTGTCCTTTTGCTACTTCTCCCAGACCCTGTTCTGCTGTCCACTTAAGCCTGCTAAGTATATCATGTGTTGCTTTCCCTTGTCTCTCTTTCCCTCTATCCGCCCTGTGAGTATCAGATTCTCCAAGCCCTCCTTTCTCATTACGTGTCCCAGAAATTTCAACTGCCTCTTCCTGATGTTAAATATAAGCTTCCTCCTTTTTTTTTATCCTGAACCTCATTATTGCTAACATGTTTGGTCCACAGTATCCTTAGCATCCTTCTGTAGAACCATACCTCCGTTGCTTTGAGTCTCTTCTTTGTCTTTGAGGAGACAGTCCAACATTGGCTGCCATAAAGGAGGACAGATATCATGTAGTAGTTCAATACTCTTTTCTTTGTTACCAATAAAATCCTCCTGTCTTATAATACTCTGCCTAGCTTTTGGAATGTGTCTTTGGCAATCCCAATACGTCTTTGGATCTCTTTTTGGAAAAGATGGTAGAATGTTTGCCATTTACTTTCACCATGGTTCAGAATTCAGTTATAATTCACTTTGACATGTTTCCACCCAAGGCTAGTGAGCCCAGTCTACACTGCTATTTAACTTATAGGTGGTGAGAGTAGAGAAAACATGGGTTTATGCCTTTCTGAAGGGCATTAATGTGAAAGTGAACTCAACAAACTTTGCTTGGATCTGAACTCAGGTCTTCACTTCTACTATTTGTACATCCCATTGAACTAGTAGATAAGTTTGCCTATTGTCCATTTCACACTCTTCTCGGGTCTTTTGAACAGAAAAGGTTTATCCCTTGTTTCCTGTTTAGGATTGGGTTTCTGGTTCCTTCTAAAGTCTACTTCAACTCTTATACTTCTAATGTCTCTGTCTGAAATCTGAAATTTTATTTACTAATTATTTTTTTTCTCAATAGGGCTAGATAGGTTTGCCTATCACTTGGTCACCCCCCCCCCATGGTCTTTTGAACAAAAGTAGAGGTTTAATCCTTGATCACTGTTTAGCATTGGGTTTCCAGTTCCTTCTCAAGTCTTTTCATTCTCTTTCACTCTCAGTAGCCTGTTGTGTTTTAGTGGCATTATCACCTTGCTTGGGGTGATGTGATTAAAAAACAAAACAAAAATTCATTACACAGGTGAAATGGTTTGTGTGGCAAGATTGCTAACCATTATATGGTAAACCTTCCTTAAATACCTATCATTGTTTCAGTTAACTTATGTACCCTATTAATATATAACAGAGTGTTTATCTCTTCTTTTACAAAAAAAAAAAAACATTTTATTATCTGTTTTTTTTTTAATCTGTTTACATACCTATTTGATTTTAGGAAAATCTATGACAAAGTGGAAAATTTTTTTTATTTCATTTCATCCTTTAGGACTTCATTGGACTAAAGTGATGTTTATGTTCATGTGATTACATATGTGCCTGAAGGAGAGGCTACACTGGAATTTTAAATTTTAATTTTGTTTTTTGTTTTTTCTAAATATGTGTTAATATGTGTTTGTGTATATAGTCTCATCAGTTTCATTTAATTTCTTTGTTTGCTTTTATCACTTTTGATACAAAACACATTCAGTGCATTATTTGCTCACCATAATTTTGATATAAAAAATACTACTTTAAATGATAGAGAAAGCAATTTACTAAGATGAAAGAAAGTGTATAGAAAATGCTTTAATTGCTAGATCATCCACAGTAAATTTATGTCCAGGTTTTTACAACATTTCACTTCCCTTGTCAGATCTTCTATTATCACAATGTGAGATATTTAATAACAAAAGTGATAAAAACATAAACTAAAAGAAACTAAATGAAGTTGGCTAGACTATATACCCAAACACATATTTTAAAAAAATCTAAATTTAGATTTAAAATTTCATCGTTTCCTCTCCTTCATGCACACCTGTAATCATATTAATGTAAACATCACTTTAGTCCAATGGAGTCCTAAAGGATGAAATGTGCTACACAAAAAATTTTTTTTCCAATTTGTCATATATTTTCCTAAAATTGTTCTGATATATAAAAATTTTTATATCATTTTTATCATACCTATTTGGTATAAGACCTATTGTCTTCCAATGCTATACTTTTTTTTTTTTTTTTTTTTTTTGTACTGCCATATTATTCTGCTTCTCAGCTTCCATAATTGTATGAACATTCTCGTAAGGCATGATGGAATTTAAGTTTATTTAGATATTTACAATTGAATGCAAATGCAATATTGATTGTAAGTTTGGTAGGTGGACAAAGGAGTAAATTGTTTTCCTGTTTGTCTGCCTGTCTGCTAATCATTTCTCTATTATTTGCTGTTGATTGCATCATTATAGAAGAGCATTTAGGAGACACGTTTTTCTTCTTCCTATCCAGCACCTAAACCTCTTTAATGTTCTCTATGGCACCTTGTTCATAATTGTCTTTTTTCCCTCTTTCTCTTCAGTGTTTTTCGCAAAAGCAGAGAAGAATTGATCCATGAGATAATCTTGGTAGATGATTTTAGTGATGATCGTAAGTCTTACATTTTTTTACCTTTACTTACTGTTTGTGTTTTTCTGTGTTAGCTAAAATGTTTTTTGAGTGGTTATATATATATATATATATATATATATATATATATCTTTATTTACAATGAAGGCATGTATAAATTTACTACCTATATAATATATACATACAATGTTCAGAGATAGAATTTATGACAGAACTTCTTGTGTAGGAGGCATTATATTTATTTATTTATTTTTTTTGAAATAATGATGACAAATATAAAACAGGGTCATTTGTTAATCATGTCTATTTCTGTGAAGTTTTTTTGAAGATAAAGTATTAAAGCCAGGACATTTGTTTTTCAGCCAATCATCTTTCCTTTTTTTTCAGCTAACTGGTGCATTTTCTGATTGTCAATAGCTTCTATATACTGAGTAACTGGTTTTCAGACTGGTGTACATTTTTACATCCTAACTTACATAAGGATATTAATTTTTTCATGTTTGTACCTATTTGTACCTGAATATATACATTCTTTTCCTGAATGTCTTTTTTATTGCAGACATAGCCTGTAAGAGAAGCAATCATGAAACTATGATTTCTTATCTTGTATGAGACACCTACACAATAGATATATAACTTATCTCTTCAGTTTTGCTAATATAACCTATGGCAAAAATTATGGAATCATCACTCTTCAAGAATATTCACTCAGGCTTTTTACTTAGTAGCAAATAATAATTTTAATTTAATGGCCAGTTTTTCTCATTTTATGAAATTGTTGTAACCTAGGGAATGTTACTGAATAGAATAATCACATGAAGGTTAGTAATGAACGATAATACTTAGGACAAGAACAACACATATAAGATTTGTCAGCAGCACGTAGAAGTAGTAGTCAACTGCTAGAAGTGACTCAAGTGAATTCCATGATGAATCTCCGACTGCAGACCAACACATACAGTATTCACTACTGTATTTATGGGAATGGGGTGTACTCATTATTGTCTGTAGGTATACTACAACAGAAATAAAACTAAAACAAATTAGACTAAATAACTTAAATTAGCCACATGTTTTTTTTCTAGATCAAGTAAAGGAAAAAAAATGGAATCACCTTTTAAATTTAATTTCCAAAATAAACCCCAGCACAATTCTAAATATGCAAATTAGTCTGCAGTTAAGAGAGGGCTTGTAGGCCGTAAGCTGTTGGATGTCTAAGTGAAAGTAAATATGGCTTCAACAAGAGAGCTGTCAATTAAAACAACTGAAATGATTATAAAACTCATTTGAAAAAGAGACCCAACATGGAATGGGTCAAAAAGTGATGGTTGCTTCCAGTCATCTGCATCAAAAGTTTGATGCATGTACAAAGAAAATAGGTGGAATAAAAGGAAAACATACAGGTAGACCATGAAACTTCAGGATAGAAAACACAAAATAATATAATTTAAAAATAGACAATGATCAACATGACAAATGAAAAACAAATGGATAAAAAAGGAGTTGATATTTTTGTGACAGAACTGTAAGAAATTGGCTGAATTACCTGAAAACCAATTTTAACATCTCAACAGAAGAAAACAATCATGAATGATTGGATGAAAGTGATATTCTGTGATGAATCACAAAACAACATAGGCTAAGGTAATCATATTAGACTTTTTTCTGGTACAGTTCCAATGAAACATTTCAAGATGACTGCTTGAAGAAAACAAGCAAATTTACCAACTTTACATTTTATGATATGGAGTTGAATAACAACTAAAGGAACAGGGAGATAGCAGTGGTTAACTGCATAGGTGTACATTGAAACTTTGGCTACCTTTTTTATTTTATTGATAGAAAATAGGCTTGATGATGATTTCTCTTGCTACAGAGAATATCTGTTAATATGCTTTTTAAAAAGGTTTTAACTCCATAAAATGACCAGCAGTCTGGATTTTGGTCTCATTTAAAATGTATGTAAGAAATTTAAGAACAAGTAGTCTATGACCAGATTCTATCCTACAGAGCTGGTCTGTCAACCATAATTTGAAAATTTGGAACCAGTTTGGGAAATATAGTCCATACCTGAAGAATTAAGGTTTTCATAAAACTCTAAGGAAAAGCAGCAAGAAGAATATACTATTTTTGATTTTATATTTGTTTATGATTATATATTTTTTCAATAACAGAGATTTATTCAATTTGTTCTGGAAAAATATATGCATTTTTTTAATCTATGTTTCATGAAGTCAGAATGTTTAGCTATGTTCTATCTGTGATTATTTTATTGCTGTAAAGTAAAAAATAAAAAAAAACTGGACAAACATCCATTAAGTGTTGTTATTTCACAATTTTTCCTAGGAGTTGTACAAACTGGAGTATTCTTGTTTAATGTAATTTTCTTTTGCATTTAGGGAGTTTTACTGGTTAGCTCAAATTTGATGCTAAAGCAAAGAGAATTGTTACAAAACTTTTCTTGTCTCATGTTAATAGATGATTTTACCACTTATAGACTTGTTTTGATAGAGTTGCAGACTGTCAGTGGAAATGTTTGAAAAGTGATCCATCAGCTGTTTGTATAATATATGAAATATATGCCTTATATAAACAGACTGCATATCAATAATGTGTTTCTATTGATTCCCCCAAGGAAAATATTGGTGGTCAATACATTCATCTGTGGTTGATTCAGATTTAAACCTTGGAGTCAGGATCATTTCAAATCTTTTGTTTTCTATATTCAAATGAGTCAGTATAATTACAATATAACAATGCTTAAACAGTACTAGTATTTTATTTCTGTACTTTGGCATTTTTCTACACAAACAAAAATACCAAGTCCTTGGATAAACATAAAATAAAATCAATATTTTTTTTAAAGAAATGTTGGTTAATAATTAAAGAAAGAGATACAGTATGAATTTTTTCTGTCTGAATTTCTGGGATGAGGAGTTATTATTATTATTTACACTATTTACATGTGGACTATTGTTCTCATCTTTGTTGTTGTCATCACAATGTTTCATCTGTTGTATTCTCCTGCCTTCATCAGGTGTATATTGATCTGATTAACGTACAGGGAATTCTGAGCTGAACCCTTTATTTAATCTATCAGAGTAGACTATCTTGTCTAGTTCTTATTCTTAGTACTGTTCAATTATTGCACACTGTGTTTCCACTGAGTCCAAGTATACACTGCCTGACTGAGGGATTGAACATACAATTGATTGAGCAGTCAGTGCTACTTCTTAAAACAATTAAGACAAGTAAACTAGTTTTCTCAAGTCTGCTAGCTGTTATTGCTCTTTCTGGTATTCATAGGGACTTCCTTTATAACATTTTGTTTGAAGTAGTGTAGAAAGCTAACATTTTCATTATGTCATTATTTTCTCTTTTAGTTACATATGCCATCCATTTGTGATTTCTGTAATTTGATAAAGTTCTTTGTTTGTGATTCTGTAGGGCCAATTAACAAGGTTCAAAGAAGTATGGTCTTTGATAAGACCTGCAAGTTTCAATTACTCAAAGCACTTTTTAAATGTTGATTTGAGAAAGCGATTATATACAATTTACAGTTTATTTTATTCAACTCTGGACTTCATCAATTACTGTTGGCTGGTGTGTATGGCCTCAGACTCTCACCTGGAAGTTAATCTCACATTCTTTTGTGCAAAATCTGAGGATAATTATCTTGTTGCTTCTTGGGTTGGATTTTGGATATTTATCTGTTAAACTGTTTTCCCTCACATATTGGGCTGATCACATGAGATCTGTAATCAGTGGCCAGGAGATGATCTGTCAGGTCAACCCTGCACATGGCTTCTCTAAGTGCAAAGTCTATTCTAACATCATCTGGGATAAGATACATTTGTTGAATAGCATTCAGCATGTTTTTTTTCTATTGTCATCTTAAGTTCTTCTGTTAATATTTGTAAAAAATTAAAAAAATACCCTAATGATATAAATATTTATACATTAGTTGAAAATAATATTTTTTGTTATAAGTAAAATTAAATCTGGCCTTATCTCTAAAGTGAGCTATGTGCCATGCCCCTTCATGATTTGGACAGTCAGAGCTCTCTACAACTTCCTATCCTTTGTAGATTTTACCAATCTTTGTCTTCTTACTGTACTTCCCTTCCCTGTTCTGCCATTCATTTACACAAACTCATTAGGTAGGTTGCCCTTTATTTCACTCTCTCTCTCAAGCCTGTGAGTGTCAAAATTTCCTCATTATGTGTCCTAGAAATTTCAACTATCTTTTTTTAACTATAATCATTCTCTTTGTTTTCATTTTTTTAACATCTTCTTGTTATTCACATGGTATTGTCCATGGTATCCTCAGCATCCTTCTGTAGACCACTTTTGCCTCAAGTCTGCTCTTCATCTATAAAGAAATTGTCTAGCATTCATTGCTATATAGAATGATTGATATTTCATAGCAGTTGATCACTCTTTTGTTTCTAATGAAATTTTCCTCTGAGTAAATTTTTGAAATAACAATAAAGACTTTATAGGTGATGTTTACACATGGTTGTTCTTCTATGTGGTATCCTTTCAGGCTGTGGGCAATCATGGCTCCCCAAATCCTCCTATCCATGGAAGCCCTTAGCAACATTTGTCTTTCTGCCAAACCTCCAACGCGCTATTCTGCCATCCATTCACACAAGCTTGTCAGCTAGGTGACCTGCTGGTTTCCCCTGCTTCTCTAGATATGTCTTGTCAGTGTCAAATTTTCCAAGCCCTCCTTCCTCATTATATATCTAAGAAATAACAGCTGTTGCTTTCTGATTTTATGGTTAGATTATGAAATAACAGAAAAACCCTTTTTGAGTCATATTTCTATATGGTTTGATTTTTAAGTAAAAATATTTTATCATATTGTATTTGATTATGTCTCTTACAGCTTACAACATACCCTGTATCATCTGTCCTTAAAGACAGATGATATATGGTATGTTGTGCAGCCTTATATATCTTGAGAAAGAGGCCAGGTGGTGACCACTGGGAAGTCTTTATCAATATTGCTTTGTCAT